AAACATTAAAACTTGAAAAGTAGAAAAAGAACACAGGCACTGTATTAAAAAATGCAAACAGCCAATAAAAGTATGAGTGTTCAAACTTACTAGTAACTGGCTATTACAATTTTCACCAAAATAACACTTTGTCAAGGATAACATTCAGTACAAGTGCCCACACTGTGCAGACAATAAAGAATGGAAATCAATATATCCTTTCTGAAGAGCAGGTAGACAATACAAACAAAAGTATGTTTATATTTCTGACACAGTGATAACTTCTAGAAATCTACCTAAAAAACAGTAATGTAATTAAAAGATTTATATACAGGATGCTCATTTGCAGCATTATTTATAACATAAGAACTGGAAACAAACATACAATAGGAAAATATTAAATCCTGCACAAAATGAAATACTATACAGATACAAAAAGTATGTTTTCAAAAAAGGTTAATAAGGAACATGAGCAAACAAAACATTAGGTGAAACTAGAAACATTAAACATTAGGTGAAGCTAGATATTAAACTACATATATCTCATTCTTAGAAATGTAAATGTGTACCAAAAATATTTCAAAGCATCAACAGGAATCATCACTGGATGATTAGATTTACAGTTTTCAGTATCGCTACAATGAGAATATACAACCTTTATAATTAAGAAAAAATTAAGGTAAAAAAGAGAAAAGCGGCTCAACCCCTTTAGCTAGGGTCTGTCACACCTTGGTCAAGCCATTATTGGAAAGTTTCTTTCTCTTTCTGAAAATGTAAAAATTATTATTAATACACACTATCTACACATTAGAAATACTTTTAAATCAGATATATAAATACTATCATTAAACATACAAGAATGTTAACATGTTTCATGAATACAGTGCTAAAGCTCATTAACAGTTATCACTACAATGCAGATAACTTACATAATATACTGCATGTTGGTAGTGCTTTATGGTTACTAAGTTATACTATAAAAATATACGAACTGTAATCATGAATACTACTTCACATATTAATTGGTTAAGTGATACTTAACTAGATCACCAAGTAAAAATTCATAATTTGGGACTTTGTATTGTAAAATCAGATTTCCAACTTTAGAAATCACTTAGAATTTTAGAATTATAGGTCAACCAAAAAATACTGTTACTAATGAATTAATTAATTAGTGCCTATATACTTGTAATATCAAAAAAACCCTCTAGAAATGCATGGTTTATTAAAGGACTCATTGCTAACAATATTTAGATTCCATTCAGCTACTTAAGGACAACCGCTCTTAAATTCCTACTACAATTACAATGGCATTATGCCCGAAGTTGTGAAAATACATAAAAATATACTAATTTTTTATTCTGTCAAACAGTATACTCACAATAATGTCTTCCATTCAAACAGATCATCATAAAGTTTACACAGCATAGCGTAACTAGTAAGAGCATGGCCTTTTTAGCCTGACCTGAGATTAAGTCCTGTTTAAATCCTGGCTCCACCAAATATAGTCATGTGACTCTAAGCAAGTTATATAAACCCTAAATCTTGGTTCTCTTATCTGAAAAGGGTGACAGAGTACCTACCTCAAAGAGTTGATAAAGTACTCAACACAAACTGCTCATTAAAGTACTCTGCTTTAAAAATAATGCAAACAATTATTCTGCAAATACTGTTATCACAGTATCCTGAGTTCAAGCTTAGATAGGACTACTAACTAAGCAAGTGACAGGTGATCTTTACCTGGCAAACCACTTAGCCTTTCTGAGATTCAATGTCTTTACCTCTAAAACGTAGATACCAATACTTGCTCCTGCCCATCTTCAAGGATATTGAGGAGGGACAAATAAATAGTCTACTTTGTTTAAATGCTACATTTGGTAAACTGTAATTCACTAAACACATCCATAGAATAACATTTACATTTAAAGCCATTTCAGTCTTCTCTCAGAGAAATTTACTTTACTGAGGCAAATAATGACTTCAATTTTTTTTTTAAAGATTTTATTTATTCATTTGAGACACAGAGATACAGAGAGAGAGAGAGAGAGAGCATGAGCAGTGGGAGAGGCAGAGAGAGAGGGAGAAGCAGACTCCCCACTGAGCCAGGAGCCCGATGCGGGACTCGATCCCAGAACCCTGGGATCATGACCTGAGCTGAAGGCAGACGCTTAACCATCTGAGCCACCCAGGCGCCCCAATAATGACTTCAATTTACTACTGAGATAGCTATGGTGATGGCCCAAAGCATAACTTCAGGCCTCCAACTTCTCAACACCCAGAAATGCTCTGGACTTAGTAAACTGGTTAAAAAAATAGCTAGAAAAGCTGCAAATATACAAATTCAACAGAATAAACAAAGGAATATACACTTAAAATTATTTCCTAAACTGAATGCAAACCCACAAACTGATAGTAGCCAAATTAACTCAATACATTCCTCAACTGAATGCAAACCCACAAACTGATAGTAAACAAATCAACTCAATACATTCCAAGCCTTTAAAATGTCCTTATTAAAAATAAAGCACTGAAAGGAAAAGAGAAACTTAAATGTTAGTATTGTTGAGATTGGTTATTCTAACACTAAAGCCAAACATTATTTTGAAATGTAATTTTAAGTTTTTGGCTATCTATCAAGACTATTTAAAAAGGGGATGTGGGGGTCCTTATTATGGGGTTCTTAGCCTGGTTCCTTGGACAGGCTTCAACAGGTCCTTAGAACTGCAGGCAAGGGCGCCTGGGTGGCTCAGTTGGTTAAGCGACTGCCTTCGGCTCAGGTCATGATCCTGGAGTCCCCGGATCGAGTCCCGCATCGGGCTCCCTGCTTGGCAGGGAGTCTGCTTCTCCCTCTGACCCTCCTCCCTCTCATGCTCTCTGTCTCTCATTCTGTCTGTCTCAAATAAATAAATAAAATCTTTAAAAGAAAAAAAAAAAAAAAAGAACTGCAGGCAAAACCGTGCCTGTATACCTGTATGTTTCCATGGTGAGAGTTCACAGCTTCAGATTCTCAGCAGGACTAGAAGTATAAATGGTAATATTAATTCTCTCATCAAAAACTGATGACAACAGCAGACTATTTACAATCTTTTGTGACCAACTTTTATTTTATTATTTTTTTTATTTTTTATTTTAAAGATTTTTATTTATTTATTTGAGAGAGAGAATGAGAGACAGAGAGCACGAGAGGGAAGAGGGTCAGAGGGAGAAGCAGACCCCCCGCTGAGCAGGGAGCCTGATGTGGGACTCGATCCCGGGACTCCAGGATCATGACCTGAGCCGAAGGCAGTCGCTTAACCAACTGAGCCACCCAGGTGCCCCCAACTTTTATTTTAACTAAATTACGGTCTGCCAGATTTTTAAATAAATATTTGAAGTCCCTAGCGTTACCAAACCCTCTTTGCATATCAGATAAAAGTAGTACTATCCGGGGCACCTGGGTGGCTCAGTCGTTAAGCGTCTGCCTTCGGCTCAGGTGATGATCCCAGGGTCCTGGGATCGAGCCCCACACTGGGCTCCCTGCTCGGCAAGAAGCCTGCTTCTCCCTCTCCCATTCCCCCTGCTTGTGTTCCCTCTCTCGCTATCTCTCTCTGTCAAATAAATAAATAAAATCTTAAAAAAAAAAAAAAATGTTTAAAAAAAAAAAAGTAGTACTATCCGCATTATGTCTACCCTTTCACTGAAAGCACAAAATTTTTACATAATAATGGTGTGTCCAGGCCAGGCTTCTTTTAAGTTTCATCACTGTTGGTAAATTTGACAAGAAATAGGTTTTTGGTATTTTTTTTTTCTCTTGGTTAAACTCTCATGGGAGCTATGTTGAGAGATGAATTCTGAGCACATTATTTGGGGACTTAAACTCTGAATTTCTGGATTCAGAGTCCAGAGTGCTAACCATTACACCATGGAACCCCGCATTAAACTCTGAATTTCTAATCAAGGATGAGCTGATGCTCATCTTCGCACAACCTCTGGGGGAATAAAAGTTTAGACTTAATAGTTATTGTGAGCAAGATTTCAAGAAAGACCTATATAACCTACTTCAATTCAACAGGTTTTATCAAGTTCCAACCATCATGATTCTACCCAGTCGTGGATAAATGTTACTATAATGAGATAAAGTAAGACCCTCTGTTCTCAAGAAACTTAAGCCTCTTATGTTTAGAATACAAGAACTATAGAAAAGAACAATGAAAACAATTTTCAGTCTGCAGGGGAAAAAAATCAACTTGTAATAGTTTGGTATAACCTACCAATAAAATTGCTAAGTAATTAAAAAAAAAAGGATGCATCATTGTGAGATTAATGTTTAGGAGGCAAATTTTTAAACTGAGCTTTAAAGGAAATATTAAGAAATTGTCCTAAGTATTTTGAGAGACCACCGGCTTATACAAATAGAAAATCCTTATTTGTTCATTAAGACAGGTTTCTTAGAGGGTCTGCATGGCCAAATTTTGTGAACCTGGTTCCACTAATTGTATATAATTGTATATTAAAGGTAATAAAAGTTAAATTCTACTTCAAGATTCTCTACATTTTTGTTTCCATAAATCCACTGCATTTTTGAGTGCTTCTAAACAAAGTTCTAGGGGTTTCCCAAAGAATTTTCAATAAGAACTTTCATCATCTTTTCAAAAGATTAAATAGAGATTAACAAACTTTAGTTTCTTTAGATACTCTGTTTAAAGGTAGTTCTTCTAGTTGAGTTTAAAATAACTTAAATCGCCAAAAAATTATTAAAAGCAGTTTGTTCTTCTATTAGAGAGCAAAGACAGGCTTTTCCCAATTTAATAAAACCATAATCACACAACTTATATCTGATATAAAATAGTTTACTTAAGTAACTACCAAGGGCTTTACCTACATAATCACCATATCATAAAACACCTGCACCAAAAGTTTCTCAATACAAATAACCTTAAAATTCTAGGAAAATTTAGAATAACACAAACATTGGAAAGTCCAGTTTGAATAAGTGCAAAACCTGCTTCCACCTGTCAGAAAGTAAACACACACGTTCAAAGTAAACTAGAACCATTCCACTTTTATTATTGCCTTGGGTTATTGAAGTGAAATTCAAGCACATAATCAAGTAAAATTCAAACACAAACAAGATGATACATTTTATAAACCCCCTGTCTTAAAGAATCGTATTAGAAAAGAGGTAGTCTGGAAGTTTTGGGAAATATCAGAACATAAATCCAAAACCCACATAAGCAGTTCGTAAATGAGCATTTTCTCAACAATCAAGTTTTTGTAATCTTTGATCTAATGCACCTCAACCAACTAGGCCTTTGGGCCCAGAAATAGTGAACTTGCAATACAGCTTGTTTCTTTAGGCTCAAATACTATCTTACAAGGGTCGGAAATAAAAGAATCTGGCCAAAAAAAAAAAAAAAAATCAGTGTACGCTCTTTAATAAAAGTATAGGAATAAGGCCTTTCATTCCAGGAGACAGGCCATGACTATCCCGGGATGATTATCTGTAGTACAGTGCTCTCCTTAATAAAATTTACTGCTACAACGACGAATGGTACACTAAGAAGAAACACAATAAAAAAAAAAAATAGGTATTAAGGTTCCAATCATGACTATCACAGTTCATTTTCAGCTATTTCAGGGCTGGCAGAAACGTTTAATACACCCACACACCCCCAAGGGAGGGGAAAACCACCAACCTCCTCCCAGGGAGTTTAATGAAAATTAGCAGGTAAAAGAGGCCTCCTCAGCAGCACGATGAAAATCAAAGAGGGCGGCCGAAGGGTTCGGACTGCGGAGGAAAGCTTCGTCCTCGGACCCCACCTCCCTTCACCTTCCCGGCAGGACGAAGGAGGCAAAGGCTCATTAGCGCCTTCGTTAATTGACACCTGTAATGAGGAAACTTTCCGAGAGGTGAGACCGCCCAGGCGCGGCCTGGCCGGAGCTCCGGAGCGGCCCCCTCTCGGGCGCCCAGGTAACCGGGCCGGGCTGGGCCCGAGGCGCCGCGGCGGCCGCGCCACCGCGCACCTTCCCGGGGCGCTAGGCCCGCACGCCGCCCGGCTCGGCCGTCGCCTCCCGCAGGCCGCGGCAGCCCGGGGAGCTGCGCGGGGCCCCCAAACTGTGCACCCCCACAGGCCGCCGCCGCGGCTACTTACTTTCATTTAACACCTCCACCAGGTCTGCGCAGTTCTCGCACATCTCGTTCGGCCGCCGCCCCCCCCCTCCCCCGCTTCGGATCGCACTGACTGATCCCGACCGGCGGGGGGGAGGGGAGAGAGGCGGAGGAGGGGGCCGGCCGGCCGGCGGGG